ACTAATTTGGCTTTCTTCATATGAAAAAAAAAACTTATTTTAAGCTTTTAAAATTAAAAAAATATTAATATGTTTACCTTAAAAAATATTTCACAAGCTTATGTCTCTATAATATAATATAACATAGATAGTTATATTTTATAAAATATACTATGTATGAATATAAGATATAATAAAAAAAATTCATCATTATACTTTTTTAATAAAAAAATTTCATCATTATACTTTTTAAATTTCATTCTTTTATTGTAAATGATTAAATATTTATATTACATATTTTATATATATTAGATAAACTTGAAAAAAAAATAATTCATTAATAAATTATTTTTCAATTTATTTTCCATAATATAATTAAATACTAAAAAATATTTTCCATTTTATTTTCCATGATACTACCAAATAATCAGAAAATACTTTCCTAGAATTTACTTTCTAAAAAAAAATAACTTTCCTGTAAACAAATAAATCCTCAATATTATTAAAGCGTTTTTTTAGATTTTTTTTCTATTTAAATGATTGTAAAAACCTTTTGACGAGTAAAAACCGTGATGAATTAAAATAAAATATTTTGAAATTCTCCCTAAAGTTAAAGCGTTATTGACATGTACCAAACCCTTTACTCTTGGATCCATCGAGTCACCATGAAAGAGTTATCCTAAAGGAGACGAGGTAGAAGACATCCCGGATTTAAGCAATCAAGTTGTGCAAGCTTGAAAATATTATCACGGATGTCGCTTCCCTCACATAATATACATGAAGTATGATAAAATGAAGCAAAATTATATATCAAAGAACGCAACTCACATGGATGGAGAGGTTATACATAAAAAGGTCGACTGGCAGGAAAAGTGTACCTTTCGCACCCATACATACGAGGAGGGGCCTTTGCACACCTCTGCCAAAGCTGAAGTTTAAGATATCTCCGCAGAAACATTCTACTTTTCTACAAAAGAATATATTTTACAATGTACCAGTCAAGGGAAGAGCACACGTTGGGTTAATGGGGGAAAGATAGGATAATTCTGCCTCAAAGCATTGAATTAATGTTCAATCTTTTGTATACGAGGGCACGAAGTCCTTAATCCTCTGCTTAAGTTGCTGCATTGAGAAAAGATATCCCATTCAATAAAGCTCAAAAAAAAAAAAAAAAAAGGAACAAAAAGTTGAACGCATGTTTTCCGAGTCACCTCTAGTTCTTTATGGAGCACTATGAATATTTTTTTCAGCCGTCTGTGTTTCTGCAAGCCATATCATCACAGGTCAAAATAGAAGAGTCTAGGAAGGAAAAAAGAATCTAAAACGAAAGCCATATCAATGTGCTGCCTTAAAATAGAAGAGTTATCAATCCAAAAACCGATTAAACTGATTAAAATTTTGAAAAAACCAGTCGGTTCGGTTCGGTTTCGGTTTTATAACCAAAAAACCGAAAAACCGAACCGAACCGAAACCGAAACCGAAAAAACCGAGCCAAACCGATTTGAACCGGTTTTTCCCCTAAAAAACCGAATCGAACCGAAACCGGTCGGTTTGACCCGGTTTCGGTTCGGTTTCGGGTATTTTTTCAAATTTTTTTTTTTTCGGTTTGGTTACTTTTTTTGATAAAAACCGAACCGAACTGAAAATGATCACCCCTAATCCCAGCCTAGTGATTAAGTTCAATGGATAACAGCAAAACTGAAAGTATTCCGCACATTTGCAGCTACCAAACTAACAAATAGTGTTCCCTCTATTATCAAAGATATAAAATTACGACCTGAAACTGTACTCTAGACCCAAGGAACCAAGCATGGTACACAAGGACCAAAAAATACATGCATCAAAATAAATAACTATGGCCTTATCATAGCGATCTTCTACTTGCTGTCGAGATAATAATCTTCCTCAAAGGTGCTTCAAGAGAACCTCGTGTTGCATTGTTTCAAAATGCATGTATTCATCAATTGGTTTATCTTATTATTCAATGATTCTACCAATAACACTGACATATTTTCTCACTTTAGTTTGGTCTAGTTTTCTGGGTGCTGTCACAACTCATTCATCTCACCTTTCTCAAAATGAGAAAGGTTATGTAGTTACTTCGAACTACCTCACTTGAATTCATCAAATCAGTCATTGAATTTATCCTCCTTGTCTTTGTCACTCATCTCACCTTCCTCAAAATAATAAAACATCTACCTATATCACTCATTGCATTTCACCATCTTCATTACTATTAGATACAACTTATGTAGTCAACAAATTTTGGTTGCTAACATTCTAGTCTAGCAGATGGATGAAAATAACATAACAAGGCTACCTAATATACCCACAGAAGCAATAGTTCTTATTCCTCATTAAAGGGAGGAGTCCTATGTCTATGCTATTTAAATACTGAGAAACTAACAGAGCAGATGACAAGGAAACGCCAACCTCACTTATGGTTTGTATCACTTCAGACAAATAGATGTGCAAAGAATTAATTGGTCACATCTTTTTACCTAATCACTACCAAAATCAAGTGTCTAGACTCTAAAAGTTTGTCTAAATGGTGTCTTCCATTCAGCAACAGAATCCTAATTCCCACACCACTAATAACAATTTCACCCAATCATTTCTACCTTTTCCGTGTATTATTGCAAACTCTTTCTATAATTTTCAGCCATAAAAAAACCCCAGAATCATCAAGATATCAAATTTCATTCCATCATTAGAGTCAGTGGTGCCTGTTCTTTTTCCTAAAGCATATGCAAGTGCAGCCATCCTCTAACCCCTAATAATGTTTACAAGTAGAATTTAATTGACCCAGAAAACAAATTAGTAACAACTAAGACACTTCAGTGAATTTAATTTGTATGAATAAATGCAAACTGCCACAGAAAAGGTATCATAAAAAGACTTTATAGCATACCATTCCACATTGACTATAAGACTCCTTCAACTGCACCAAGATGTTATGATATCTATCCATATCCCTGCCTTTTGCAGATTCAAGGTCCTTCCCCAATTTATGGAACTCATTCCTGCATACAACATCAAGTGTACAAATATAATTAGACAACAAACCTGACAGCACTAGACCAAACCTAGCAAACAGCAAAACAAAGGGCTACTTATAAAAAGAAGATGAAGAAGAATTTTATGATACCTGTAGCTCTCTAGGATCCTGTTCAAGGAGCAGTAACTATCATATTTATCACGATATTCTTGCACATATTCTTGGTACCTGCATAATAACAGATGGCGCATGATTTGAATTTCATGACATGGAATTGAGTAATTTTAATCTTACAATGAAAAGAACAATGCAAGCTATGCAACAACAAAACCTCAATCCAAAACAAATATGATTACTCACTGAGAAAAATCCTTAATTGGTCCTCTGAGCTCTGGTGCATCCTTTTCATACTTGGAATATGAAGAGCTGTCATCCTCTGAAGAAGATTCCCTCTTCTTGGAAACATTATTGCTATCCTCTGTCATAAGTGTATCTTTCCGTCCATTTATCAAGTCAGCCATCAAATTAGATGGTTGTGTTTTACTTTCTCTTACCGAGAGGGGAAGTGTTCCACATTTAGATTCATGAAGCTTCTGTGCACTGAGAGGGGCTTTCTTGTGGCTTTCTCCATAGCCTTCCATACTATTTCCTAGCTTTGCACTAGTTTCATTCTGTGTTAATCTACTACTTGAGTCTGCCAACTTACTGAACCCAGATCCAACATCAAGATTATCTACACTTGAAACATGTTGCGGCTGAGACTGCATAGCTTTATGGTTAGGTCTTGTTAAATCATCGACACGATGTTCTGGGGACCTCTTAACTCCAGCACTCAGGTTAGGTGAGGGCTTTCCTGAGTCCAATGATACCTTTCCAATAGATTTGCCCTTGTGTATATCTGAATTACAATTATCTGAAGTGCTTGATTTGTTCTCTGAGTGTTTAAAAGAACCTTTCCTTTCAAACCTTTTTTTAACTGGTGTTTCCTCAAGTAATGGCTCACGAAGTTCTCCTAACTCCAAGTCTGAAAGCTCTCTATGGAGACCTCTTCCACTAGCAACTCGGTGCTTTTCCATGTCAGCTCTGTTGGAGTCCTTTGGTGAAAACCCAAAATTTGAGTTTGAAATTTGTCCAGGATCCTTTGGTCTTCCAAATGCTTCCCCTTGTTTCCTGTAATGGGAATCAAAGGAAGCTGAATGTTTGCCCCCAGCACCACCTTCCTTGGAATTTATTGGCACCTTTTTCTCCTTCGAAAAAGTATCCTCGTTTTGAGTATCTCTTGAAGCCTTTTCTCTATGAATAGAAAACACTTCATGCACAAAAGAACCCTTTTCTGGAAACTTACAACTAATGCCTGAGCCCTCAGCATGTTTGGATCTGCTTGCAGCTTCCTGAGCTTTCAACCTTGCATTTTGATCAGAAGACCTCCGACCTGATTGTTGAAAATCTGGATTAGATTTTCCAGAAATTGCCTGGTTATACAGCTTTTCTGAGCCAAAATCACTTGCTTGTTTATCAGCTCTATCCATCACTTGAATGGCAGGGCCCTTGTACATGTCTTCATTGTGTTTATCATGAGGACTCCCTGAGAACTGAGTGTCCCTACCCTTAGAAGTGGGCACTCGAGACAAGCTTTCAGCTTTCAATCTTTTGACACGCTCAGATTTACTGTCAAAGGGCTTCGCATCGAGTCCCCTTTTCGATTTACTTTTTGATGTTCTGTCTGAGCTGTCTGACTGCTCATGCCTAAAGCTGTCCCTAACCATATTGTCGTCATCATCAAATAAGTTTCCTATGAACATTTGGCGCTCTTGAATCATATCATGATCATGAAAAGTGGATTCTGGTCCTTGCAAAGGTTTTTCACCTTCTTTGCTGGTAACCAAACTATCATTTTTAGTTATTTTAATGTCCTTTTCATCACCAGCCAAGTCTTTATCGACTTCAATAGCATCAGATTCATGGCCCTCGATTTCAATTGCATCAGACTCATGGCCCTCGATGTCAACTGCAGCAGATCCGTGGCCCTCGATGTCAACTGCAGCAGATTTATTACCATCTAGCTTCTTATCAATCCCATTCGGCACAGACCTCCAAGGATCAGGAGATGCCAATAATCCTGGTTCAGCGGTCTGCAACTTATGTCGGGGTTCTTTGTCATCATCACTTGTCATGATATCAACATCCTCATCAGAACCCTGCTTACTGTTGGAGGAAGCATCACTTTCACTGTCACTGCTACTCCCAGTTCCACTTCCTACTGGGCTTCTGCTCCTGCTCCTGCTGCGGCTTCCACTGTCACTCCCACTATCACTGCTATCACTCTCACTGTCACTGTCACTTCCACTATCACTAGAGCTGCCTGCCTGCCCTTCACTGTTGTCAGAAACCTTCTTCTCACCAAACAAATCAGGCGAAGACTGATCTATGTCAAGTTTTTCTAATGCATTTGATTCTTCTCCAAGTTTAGAGTTTGACCGAACTAGTTCCTTGGATGCAACAGAAGGATTTTTCTCCGCAAATCTTGGTTCTGGATCAGGTCTCTGGCAACAATTATCCTCAGTAGCATGTGCTTGCTGATGGTTGTCTTCAGGAGAACTGGAAGTAAAAAAAACACATCTAATAAGCCATGTGATGCATATACACACACAAATAGACAAAAGGAAATGTACTTCAAAGAGTGTTCATAAATAAAGCTTTTATTCAATTTTCATCAGTTCTCACAAAGGGGCAATTCACTAGAGCAGATTAAGGCAAAAATATGAATAGAGCCCAATTATAAGGTAGCAGAACTACCAACCCAATGGAATCCTATGGATTCACTTCAATTTCACATACCCCATAAGAAAGATTAACCAACAAAATACAAAGATAACAAAAAAATATTGAAGTGTTGTAAAGAAAACCTCCAAGACTGACTCATAAATTCCCAAATGTTTAGAGCAAGAGGAGAAATTAAAAGGTTCAAAACCCACAAGCTAAAGACAAGCACAAAAAAGAAAACATAGCATTCTAAAAATCAACACTCATGAATTGAGAGGTTTGGCATAAAGGAATTATTTGTGTCCTTGCAAGATCAATTTCTCAGCCATGTAACAATGAAAGGAGAACAGAGCAGGATATCATGCCTCAGCCAATTAATTATGATTCAATTAGTATTAGGTAATTCTGCCAAATATCCTCATTTTAACTCATTCTTCCAGGAAATATTGTTAAGATCTAGTAGCAATTGAAAGGAGAACAAAACAGGATATTGTAAGTTGTAACAACCTGGCCACAGAATCAGCCAAATGAAAGAAACTTCTATCACATAAATTGGTATGTACCTTCCACTTTCGGATGAAGGTTTCTTGACTTTTTCTGACTCCATTCCTGGTTTCAAGATATATCTTCCTGGAGCTTGAAAATTTGCTATCTGATACTCAAGATTGAATGAGAAGACATAAGATCACTAGCTAATCTAAAACCAATAAACAAAGGTTTTAACTACTTACCTTTTTTATAATGGGCTCAATCTTCTTAGCAGAGTTCGGAATTGTACCCGAAACAGCTTTCTCCAAAGCCTACAAAACATGGGAGGTAGAGTTTACAAAGACCAAGAAACCAGTAAAGAGCTAGTCACAGAAAATTTACAAGAACCAAAGAAACCAACAAAGATCCCGTCGCAGAAAAGCATCTAAGCACAAAGGAAGCATGGAACAAACTGAAGAAGCAGCATGTAGCAAATATGGAACCAAATATTCAGTGAAAAGTATTTCAGATAGAAGTATCTGCTCCATACCTTCAAGCTCATCCCTTTTGGGTTCTGGATCAGTAAATTAACCAGCATACTCTGCAAATCCATTGCTTTGACCCCCAAGTTCCCTTTGCGCCCGGGTGTCTCCCATAAAGCACTATTAAACTTGGCTGGGATTTCATTCTCTGAGCTAGCAGCATTCTCTTTATTTTTCATCTGGGTAGGAATGTACTCTTCTGTGCTCACATGATGCTTAGTGATGCTTCCAGTTCCAAATGGAGATGCTGGAGCCCCAGAATGTTCTGGTGGGGATGGTAGAGGTGAAGAGAGTCTACCTTTCACAATAGCAGTTGAAGGCAGTGCAGGTTTATAGGTGGTTTTAGGGAAGCCGCCTCCTCCAACTGCAGTTGGTGCATAGTTGAAACAAATTCCAATAGTAGAAATTGAAGATGAGCAGAGCAGCAACAGTAGGAAAGAAAAATGCCATTTTATAAGGATTTTAAGCTTCTTACACTTCTGTGCAGAGAACATATAGAAAAGGTACATTTTTTAATCACATGAAAATCCACTAGTATACCTTGGGGAGGCTCAACTTTCCGCTTTTTAAATGAAGGTTCTATCTTTCGCTTAAACCATGGATTAGCTGGAAACAAGAGAAACATTAACAAATAAAGCTCTATTAGTTTGACAGAACGTATTTCCATCAGAAAATAATTTGAATATAGGAACATAGCCTCAATGGACAACAGAATCAACTTCATCCTAACATTTCAATCACATGCCTAAAATGTTTGTTGGATTCTCTTCTCTAAAGTGAATGTCAAGTGAATGGAGAAAAACCACACACTGCAAAAAGCAAAAAAGATCAGAATCTAAGTCAACTTACACTCAACAGCTGCTAATTGCTTTATCTGGCTCTTTGCAGCTGGGTTTCCTTGGTCTAACACGATAGCTCTATCATCAGGGAAAAAAAATTAAAATTACAATATTAGTTAAACTAGCATTATGGGTGGTGGCATCACTTTCAATGTTGTGACTTCTGCTCAAAACTATTTAATAACTGTCAATAAAAACCAATAAGCATCACTACAGAGAACAATCCGCAGGAATCCCAAGTCTTTTACAGAGATGTTGCTAAGAATCTGAACCGAGGGCTTGCTGATCGATTTTTTTTCCTTTTCATACGAAGTTGAACTACAAAGACCATCCACATTTACATATAATAAAGCCCAACTAGTCAGGATAAAATAACCTACTTAATTGACATCTGAAAACATCTAAGCTGAGCTTTTTATTGAAAACCCACAGTACACATCATTGAATCATGCATACAAACTATAAAATAAAGCATATGCTGGAAGAACTAGCAAAAGAACACAACGTGCCTAATACAGCAAACAACAAACAGTAAGATTTAGGAACATTATGTAAGATCAACATTTCTAGCAATATCAACAAGAGTTAATCTGCAATAAAAGATCAAGATTCAAGTAATATCAACAATAGTCAATCTGCAAGGACACATCCATTTGCTTAACATTCAAGTAATATAATCTAAAGAGATATTCAGACACAAGTGACAATGATTAAGGAAAAAAAAACATGTTAAAGATACATAGGTTCTCTAGCAATTAAATAATTTCAAGAAATAAAGCGGGCGTAAAAGCATCATATGACATACTTGCGAGATTTAAATTTGCGTTCAGCTTCCTCTGACAGCATCTTAACATGGTTCTTAGTTGACTCATCCAAGACACGTTGGACATTGACCTTCCGCCAGGCACATCCAGATTCTACAAGCAAACCATTTCCATCTACGCCACCCTGTCGCTCTTCATATATGTCACAGAGGTCACCCAATTCCCTCGACCAAGTAAATCTGAATTCTTTACCACCCACATCAATAACCTAATGCAATTATATAAACCCAAATAAAGCTATCGATTTTAGACAAATAATAATAATACTAGCAAAGAAAATTAAATTAAACACTAAAAATAATTGTCTAAAGGAAAAAGAAGAGAAATTTGGATGTAAGTTACTCACATTCCCATCAGGGTTATTAGCCATGGAACCAAACTTAATTCTAGCAGTGCCACCCTGAGCTTCAATTCTTCTGATCTCATCCACCAAGTCAGGTGCCAACCTTATAATCATGGCAAAAGCAAGTGGGTTATTTCCCGGAATTAAAGAGAAGGTCTCTTCGACACCCGGGTTTGAAGACGAAGATGACTTGGCATTGATCGGACCCGGACGGTTGTTGCGGGGGTTGTTATTGGTGGAACCAAGGGAGAGGCGGGAGGATGGTGTAAAGCGGTGGACAGGCGGAGGAGGTGGTAAGGAGGAGCGCCTAGGACCAGAGCCGCCGCCTCCTCGGCCGCCGCGCTTGGAGGATCCTCCGTACATTATTTGTAAATTATAGGAGGTTGCTAATGATAATTAGCATTAAAATTAAATAAATAGATCAATAAAATAAAGTGCAGTTGTCTGAATGTTATCGGTGCTAAGCGGCCGCTGGGGGGGTGGGGGGGTGGGGGGGGGGTGGGGGGGGGTGGGGT